CGAGGCCACAAGACTGTATTCATGACGAACTTTGATTGTTGGCTACTTTCAGGCAACTTTCTCTGACTCACTGAGTATTTGGTACATGAGAAAATAAGTTGGCTCCTGGTACACAAACTAAGAATGGCTGCAATTTTCTGGAGATTATACTAAAGGTTTGTGGGATTACATTTCTAGTGCAAAGATCTGTCTTGGTATATACTGTCCAAATGAAGTCATTTGCTTTCCTGAACAATTTTCTGTTTTGTCTGTCTTTAAAAACAAAATGTTTCATGGATTGGCTGTTTAAAATAAATAACATAAAAATTAAAGACTTTTAAAAATAGAAAGTTAATAGATAACTAGACTAAGGAGGTTTCTGTTTATTAAATCATATTTATTCAACATTCATATTTAACCTATAGATTTTGGTTATATGATATATATTTTGCCACAGCTCAGATTCAAAAGTTTTCAAAGGAAAACTTAAAATCTTGTCCCCAAACTTGCTACTGTTCCTGATTTCTCTATTTCTACCATCTCTTCCAGCCAGCTAGATTCAAAGCCACAGTCCTCCTCAAATCCTTCCTCTAATCATTTTCCAAATCTGGTAGATTCTACTACTCCATGTCTCTCACATGGAATATTAGCATGACCATATAACCTAAGTTATGTCCCACTCGACTCCACTCTACCCCAAACCTTTTAACACTACATTAGTGCCTTGGGAGCTGTGTGCCAACTCCTAAACCAGGTGTTAAGGGGCCTTCCCAATTGGTCTAATGTACCTTTTTAGTCTTAATTCCCACCACTGCCTATAATCTGGTCCCAAGAACAGGAAAACCATAGCCCCTAACCTACATACCCCTGTGCTTAATGACCCCTTGCTCACTCTGTTTCCTCAGTCTGAAAGTTCATCCGGCCCTTCAAAAGCCACTAGGAAATCTAAGATCACCGTGACCTGACGAACCTTCTCTCTTAAATCTCCACAGTGTGGTACTCCGGCATCTCTCATCCTGCATTCCTTGTAGTTATTTACAAACCTGATATCCTCCTTGCCTTCTCCTAGATGTCATCTTCAGAGGGCTGAACACATGTCTTACGCTAATCCAAAGCTCCTGCAGACCCCAGGACACTGCCTTGCATACAGTAAGAGCTCAGCACCTTCAAAAACGTATAGTTTCTGTATAAATAAGATACTACTGATGGAATTGAAATGTCATGGTTCCCTTCTACTGTACACATTACTGTCAAACTCAAGCAAATGTCTATCAGTATCAAAAGATATCACAGTAATGTCATAACAGCCTCTCCTAGAAACAACAGTCATCCATTAACCCTTGACCACTGGCCCATACTACATGCTTCACTGCAAAGCACTTTAGGCCTTGGTTTAAAATACTCCTAGCTCAATTTCAAAGATGGTTATAATAAACTCTTTAGTTGCTATTGTGAATACATGTAAAGGGACCTAAAAAAAGGAACATCTACTGTTTTTAGAAGAGCTACTCTTAGAACACTGACACTTAGTAGGAGACAATAAAAAACAATAAATGTGTTATTGGTTTAAGAACTGCTTCTCTAAAGTAAAAGTACTATGAGAAACAGGATGGGCATGATGGGTTTTTGTTGTTATTGTTGTTTTTATTTGTTGTCCTATGCCCTTAAAGTATCTGACACTCAATAACAATGTTTAACTTTGGAGTTTTTTGGTGGGTATGGCAGCATGCTTTCAATTCTAAACAATGGAACCTCCAACTCAAACTACCTTAAAAAATAATGACACGGGGCCGGCCTGGTTGCGTAGTGGTTAAGTTTGCATGCTCCACTTCGGCGGCCCAGGCTTTGTGGGTTTGGATCCCGAGCGTGGACCTACGCTCTGTTCATCAAGCCACGCTGTGGTGGTGTCCCACATACAAAATAGAGGAAGACGTTATCTCAAGGCCAATCTTCCTCAGCAAAATAAATAAATAAATAAATAAATAAAGACACATAATCTAACATAACAGGAGTAGATAAGCTCCTCAAAAGTGATGATTCAGTGACTCAGTGATATCACATGGTCCAGGTTCTTTCCTGTCTCTGCCCTGCTGTGCACAGACTCTGTACCATCATAAGCCTTGTTCTGCTGGAACTTGCTGCGAGTAACAGCTGGGGCTACCTGCTTTCTTGTTCATATTCAGTGGGAGAGGACAAAGTGAGCCTCTCTCCTAACCGTGAAAGAAAAGTCCTTTCAGTCTGATTGGTCAGTTTAGGTCAACTACATACCCCAGGACAAACAGTTGTCTCCAGGGAAATACCAGGCACCAAACTGCTTACCCTCAGGCTCCAGAATAATTTCCAAAAAGGAAGACAGAACTCTAAGACTAATTAAAACCATTTGGGGGAGGTGTAAATTACTAAAAGCATATTGATACTATAAAACATAAAACAAAGGAGGGGTAGAATGAATGCTATGGAGTAAGTCATAATTGCAAATATGGATTGGCATTACTGTTCAAACAACAAAGACGACTGACTTCCTAAGTTAAGAAACTACAACCAACAACGAACTAACAGAAAGAGAACTCAAGAAGACAATCCCATTTACAGTTGCAACAAAGAGAATAAAATATCTAGGAGTAAATTTAACCAAGGAAGTGAAAGACCTATACAATGAAAACTATAAGACATTATTGAGTGAAATCAATGATGACATAAAGAAATGGAAAAATATTCCATGCACTTGGATTGGAAGAATAAACATAGTTAAAATGTCCATACTACTTAAAGCAATCTACAGATTCAATGCAATCCCAATCAGAATCCCGAGGACATTCTTCACAGAAATAGAACAAAGAATACTAACATTCATATGGGGCAACAAAAGACCCTGTACAGCTAAAGCAATCCTGAAAAAGAAGAACAAGGCTGGAGGAATCACAATCCCTGACTTCAAAACATACTACAAAGTGACAGTAATTACAACAGCATGGTACTGGTACAAAAACAGACACACAGATCAATGGAACAGAATTGAAAGTCCAGAAATAAAACCTCATGTCTATGGGCAGTTAATCTTGGACAAAGGAGCTAAGGACATACAGTGGAGAAAGGAAAGTCTCTTCAATAAATGGTGCTGGGAAAACTGGACAGCCACCTGCAAAAGAATGCAAGTAGATCATCTTCTTTTGCCATACACAAAAATTAACTCAAAATGGATCAAAGACCTGAAGGTGAGACCTGAAACTATAAAACTTCTGGAGGAAAATATAGGTAGTACACTACT